GGAGCCCCCTGGAATCCGAGGATAGTGGGGGAGGGCAGGCAGGTGGGCGCGACTTCCCCTCCTCCCTTCCAGGTCTGTGACTTTCATTTGAGCAGCCCTGTTCTGACTCTGTTTCATGAGACCTTGGCATTTGTGTCAACAAAGGGCTCCGTGGCGGGTAAATTCAGGAACCCCACTGCCGCAGGGCAGCGGACTGCGGGCCAGCCGGACTCGGCTTTGCTTGGGAGGAAGCAGCCGGCTTTGCACTCTGGCCAACTTGGGCTCCCTTGGAGGGATCGTGACCACTTGGGAAGGCAGGAGGGATTCCATGAGGGATACCACCCCTGATTTCCCGCAGTTTCCTCCATTTTCAGGGAGATGGGCACAGGGTCATACAGAAAGCCGGCGTCTTGTTGGGCAGAGGCAGCACTTTCTAGACAGTTACAAATAGACGATAAAATCCTAGGTCATACCTGGCCTGTCTGATGTAGTCCTTGCCTGTCCACGTATTTCCAGGATTCCACAAATGATTAAATTTTTTTTCCATTTTCTTTAATAACTGTATAGTTGACCAGCTTAAGCCTGGTAAATACCAGGTTGAAGCTAAGCTTCGCTGGCCTTGCCCACCCAAGACTTCCTTTGTTTGTCTCTAAGGTATCAGGTTTTATTAGAGCTGTGCCTGTCACTGATGTGGACAGTTCCCCACCCAGAAACAACCAAGGAGCAAAATGCAATTAAATAGGCCACTGCACAAACGCAACTGTACCGGCTATGCTGGTGCCCGCTGGGAGTCGGTGGCCTCCATAGGGCTGCCGGCATTCCCATCCGTCAGCTGAGGTAAGGAAGACTGACTTTAGTGCATGGATCATCATTTAGGAGTGTCCAACTATAAGGAGGTTATAGTTTGTTTGAATATCAAATCTTTTTTTTTTTTCGAGACAGAGTCTCACTCTGTCGCCCAGGCTAGAGTGCTGTGGCGTCAGCCTAGCTCACAGCGACCTCAAATTCCTAGGCTCAAGCGATCCTCCTGCCTCAGCCTCCCGAGTAGGTAGAACTACAGGCATGCACCACTATGCCCAGCTAATTTTTCTATTTTTAGTAGAGACGGGGGTTTTGCTTTTTTGCTCAGGCTGGTTTCGAACTCCTGACCTCCAGCAATCCTCCCACCTCGGCCTCCCAGAGTGCTAAGATTACAGGCGTGAGCCACTGCGCCCGGCCCTGTTGCTTTAATCTTTGAAGGCAATTTGAAATATTTTTCTGGGCTCTGTTCCTAGAAACAGAAATCTACTTTGAATGCTTGAATCTCACAGGTGGCAGGTGCAGTGAGTTGTGGCTTTATGGTCTTCACACAGATGACTGAACCAGAATTCTCTCAGTAATCTTTGCTCCCCTGAAAAGGAAATTTAGCTCTTCAAGTCTAACCCTGAAATAGCTTACCTGCTGCTAAGTTATTCTCTAGCCCTTACATAGAGCGCTTGCTGGTGTTTTGGCGCTCACTGTTAAGCCTGCGCCACCCCAGGCTCGAGGTTAAGATGAGAGCTTTGTTCTGTCTGCCTGGATTTGAGTCCTGGCTCTGCCACTATATGTCACTTTGAGCAATGCACATCCTCCCTCTAAGCCTCAGTTTCCCCATCTCTAAAGACTGCTCTGAAGATTATTCGAGGTGATGAACGCAAATCTGTTAGCACCATTACTAGCATAGACTTGAGACTCAGTAACGTTAAGCATTTTTTTTTTTTTTTTTTTGAGACAGAGTCTTGCTTTTTTGCCTAGGCTAGAGTGAGTGCCGTGGCGTCAGCCTAGCTCACAGCAACCTCAAACTCCTGGGCTCAAGCGATCCTTCTGCCTCAGCCTCCCAAGTAGCTGGGACTACAGGCATGAGCCACCATACCCGGCTAATTTTTTCTATGTATATTAGTTGGCCAATTAGTTTCTTTCTATTTATAGTAGAGACGGGGTCTCGCTCTTGCTCAGGCTGGTTTCGAACTCCCGACCTCGAGCAATCCACCCGCCTCGGCCTCCCAGAGAGCTAGGATTACAGGCGTGAGCCACCGCGCCCGGCCCGTTAAGCATTTTTATTGCAAAATTTCACAGGTGAGACAGGTATTCAAGGCCGCTGCTGTGCAGCAAAAGTGCTGTAGACAACATGTATAGACCAATGAGTGTGGCCGTGTCCCGATAAAACTTTATTTATAAAAAAGTGAACCTTGAATCTCACATAACTTTCATGTGTCACAAAGCATTTTTCAACCATTTAAAAACGTAAAGATTCTCAGCGTGTAAGCTACACAATACCAGGTGGCACCTTGCCAACCTCTTAACCTCTGCTAATCAGAGAGTGACCTCCAATCCCGACTTGGGTCTGCTCAGAGTCTCTCAGCCCCTGTTGCTGAGGGCTGGCTATTTCCAAACTTGCTGGGGAAGAGTGGGAAATCTGTGCTATAAGGGTCTCACTTCCCTTTTTGGGGCCTCAAGTTTCCCTGTCTTTCCGGGGTGGGGGGTGAGTTTTGGGACCCCTCCCATTGTGGCTTCCTAAGGCGACTGGGATTCTGTCATGGCAAACACCCTCTGGGTCTCTGCTGTGTATGTATATACGTATTTATTTATGAATGAATGGATGAATGACAGGTCTTGCTCTGTTGCCCCAGCTACAGTGCAGTGCTGTGATCATGGTTCACTGCAGCCTCCAATTCCTGGGCTCAAGCGATCCTCCTGCCTCAGCCTCCCAAGTAGCTGGGACTACAGGTGTAAGCCCACCACACCTAGCATTGGTTTTCATTTTAAAACAACCTGTGTGTTTGGGCCCACCCAGTGGCTCATGCCTGTAATCCTAGCACTCTGGGAGGCCAAGGCAGGAGGATCAGGAGAATCACTTGAGGGGAGGAGTTCGAGACCAGCCTGAGCAAGAACAAGACCCTCCCCTATCTCTAAAAAAAATACAAAAATGAGCCGGGTGCAGTGGTGTGCACCTGTAGTCCCAGCTACTCAGGAGGCTGAGGCAGGAGGATCGCTTGAGCCCAGGAGTGTGAGGTTGCAGTGAGCTGTGACCGCTCCACTGCACTCCAGCCTGGGCCAACAGAGTGAGACTCTGTCTCAAACAAGACAAGAAAGCCAGCCTGCGTGCGAGGCAGGTGTGGACTTCCCTGTGTGTGCTGAGACTCTGCCACAGGACAGGCCCTGGGAGGCATTCCTTGCCTTCCCGAAGCACTCTGGGTGTTCTCAGACCTCCCAGCCTTCGCCCACGCCGTGCTCTCTGCCTGGGCTGCCCACCGGCTCGCCTCTGCTTGTCATCTCAAGTGCCGCTTCTTCTTGGAAGATCCTCTCGACCATCCCCGCCCCCACCCAGGGCAGGTTTAGGGGCCCCTCCCTCGCTCGCCTCGGGGTGACACTTACCGCTCTGTGTCGCAATGGCCTGTGGCCTTGTTTACTTGCCGGCCTCCCATCTCCGGGCACCGGCCTGGGGGGCCAGAGGGGCTAAACAAACAAATCAGGATGGAGAAATTAGCTGGTCCTGCCCTTGCGGGGTCGTAACCTGGCTCCCCAGAGAGGTTCTCGGTGGCAGCTGAAGGGACATGCTGCGCACCTAGAGACCAGGTGGGAATGTGGAAAGAAGAAACAAGTCACATTTGCACGTCCGTGAAGGTGTGCGCTTCGTGTTTTCTCCTCCCCCGGTCCCAGCACCCATCTTGAGCAAGAAGCAAGAACCATCCTCTTTTTTCCTCTGGTCATTCCCTTCCTTCCAGGGTAGGGTCCCCTTCCCCCCCACTCCCCTGGTCCCCGGAGTAATGCCCTAGCCTTTCTCAGCTTGGGCCCTGCCCCCAACCCAACGGCTCCTCCCCAGAAAGTTTCCGCTTGTTCTTGGTGTTCACGGTTACGGAAATCCAAGAGCCAGGTCGGGCCCAGCAGGCCCCTGTCTTGCCAGTCACCCCATCTTGATCAACGTTGTTACCAAAGCTGTCACAAACAAGGGGGTGTGGGCTGTCACGTGGCCCTGCCTGAGTAACCACACTCTCGCTTCCTCCTTCCACACACGGCCGTTGGGGGTTGGTGGGGTCCGGGACCACAGCAGGGGGGTGCCACGGCCGTGTCCCGGCAGGCAGCGTGGGCTGGGCTCTTGTCACTTAAGAGAGAAGCCACTTCTTCTGGGCCCACGAGGCAGCTGTCCCATGCTCTGCTGAGCACGGTAAGTGCCGGCTTGCAAAACCCTGGGGAGTGGCTGGAGGTCCCCAGGGACCTGGGCCTGCCTTGCAGCCACTGGCACGCCTGGGGCGGGACCCCCTGGCCCTTCCTGAGCTGCCACCCCTGCGGTGGGGGGTGGGCACACCAAGGCTCCCCGGGCTCAGGACCAAGGTCTTCCTGGTGGCCTTGTGCTGGTGTCTCTTCCGGATCCCGCTCCGTGGCCCACAGCCGCTGCTGGCTGGGGACCATTCTGAACTCGACAATCAGAGAAATCATGGGCGCTTCCCCAGAAATTATCCTACCTTCCCCTCTCCTGGGTGGGAAACAGGGCCAGCGAGGGGAAGGGATTTGCTGAGGGGCGAAGGTGAGATTCTGTCTGGGAGACTCTAGACAGGAAGAAGAGTACAGGATTTGTCTTGAAGCCGCATGTGGAAATATTGTTTTCAAAGATTCATTCTTTCCACTTTTTATAAGATTGAGAAAATGACACTTTGTGGCAAATGATTAAACTATTAGAATTAGGATACTATTGTTAGCAAAAAATAAAAAATAATGAGAATCTTTTTTTTTTTTTTTTTTTTTTGACAAAGTCTTGCTTTGTTGCCTAGGCTAGAGTGAGTGCCACGGAGTCAGCCTAGCTCACAGCAACCTCCAACTCCTGGGCTCAAGCAATCCTGCTACCTCAGCCTCCTGAGTAGCTGGGACTACAGGCATGCGCCACCATGCCTGGCTAATTTTTTTTTCTATATATACTAGTTGGCCAATTAATTTCTTTCTATTTATAGTGGAGGCTGGGTCTCGCTCTTGCTCAGGCTGGTTTTGAACTCCTGACCTCGAGCAATCTGCCTGCTTCAGCCTCCCAGAGTGCTAGGATTACAGGTGTGAGCCACCGTGCCCGGCCAATGAGAATCTTATTGATTGGTATTTGGGGTACACACACACAGCCTGTAGATCCGGGTTTCTGTTGCCTGGAATTCTCTTCCTCTTTCCTGGCCTCTGTTTTCTTCCCTTTCCCATCTCTGACTTTGAGCCCTCCAGGGCGGGCCTCTCCGCGGGCAGGGGTGCAGGAGGTGGCCCTCGGGCGGCAGGCACCAGGGTGGCTTCCCTTGGGCGTGGCCCGGTGGCCGCCCTGTGCAGTGATGTGTCCCCAGGCCTGGCTGGCAGCCAGGGAGTTGAGCCCAGAGAGCAGCAGGGGCCAGAGCAGCTTCGAGAGGGGCCGGGGCGTCGTCCGAGAACCCTGGAGGGTGGGCGGTGCCTGCTTTGGCAGGTGAGAAAACCGAGCTCACGGGGAGAAGCCACCGGGTGTGGCTGCAGAGTGGCTGGGTGTGGCGGCGCTCTGGCATGACGTGGCCCTCTCTGGCCGCAGGAGCTCGTGGAGCCCGTGGTGACCCCAGGCCTGGGTCTCCCAGTCTCCTTTGCTGGACTTGAACAGGAGAACGCAGCGGGGCCTGCAGGCTAGGAGGAGGTGGCTGGCCGGTGTGCGCGCCTGTGCGTCCGTCTGTCTACACTGGGGGCTTCGTGAAACCACCTGTGGTTAAGCTAAAAAGCAGGTGTGGGTGTCACTGAATTCATTTGGACACAGTGCCTCACCTCCTCTGCATCAGGCCAGCAAACCTGGGCTCCAGCAGGTGAAACTTGGTTCTTGGCAGGGGCACGAAGAAGTCTCAGCTCCGGGTTGGTGGCTCTGCAGAGGGCCACAGAGCATGGAGCAGGGACGCAGCATATCTGTGGCATTGTCATTTCTCGAGGGCGGGTGGTAATTTGGAAAAAAAACTGTCTAAAGAGGCTCCTTGCTAGGGATAGGGGTGGAGGATGGAAAAAGGTTGGCACGCGTCAGCTGGTGAACATGCTCCCCGATATCCGGAGACACGTGTCCCGTGCAGGTCTGTGCCCGTCACCCTCCCTCAGTCAGGAGTCCTCTCCCACAGTGGCACTGGATGAGCCCCTGGGGATGCCAGGAGGCCCTGCGCTCCAGGAGCTTGAGGGCTGGCAGTGCCCGCAAGCCAAGCGGGCAGCGTCTTGAGAGCTGTGTGCTCAGGGACCCCCGCGTGCCCGTCCCGGGCATGTGGAGTGATCAGCAAAACAGCGGTGGCTCCTGTCCTCTGCCAGTTGGTGGGCCAATGTGAATACACTTTATTTTATTTTATTTTATTTTTTTTTTGAGACAGAGTCTCAGTCTGTTGCCCAGGCTAGAGTGAGTGCCGTGGCGTCAGCCTAGCTCACAGCAACCTCAATCTCCTGGGCTCAAGCAATCCTCCTGCCTCAGCCTCCCGAGTACCTGGGACTACAGGCATGCGCCACCATGCGCCACCATGCCTTTTTTCTATATATATATTTTTAGTTGGTCAATTAGTTTCTTTCTATTTTTAGTAGAGACGGGGTCTCGCTCAGGCTGGTTTTGAACTCCTGACCTCGAGCAATCCACCCTCCTCGGCCTCCCAGAGTGCTAGGATTACAGGCGTGAGCCACCTCGCCCGGCCTGAATACACTTTAGAAAGTAGATAAATATTAGAACAGGTTTGAACAACTGGGCACGGTGATGCACACCTATAGTCCCAGCTACTTGAGAGGCTGAGGTCGGGGGATCATTTAGGGCCAGGAGTTTGAGGCCAGCATGGGCAACTGGGCAACATAGTGAGACCCTGTTTCTGAGAGAGGGGCGGGGAGGGAGAAAGGAAGAGTTTAAACAGTGGGAGTCAATGAGTTGTGCTTGGAGCAATCCAGGATGGCTTCTGGGAAGAGGTGGCATTTCTCTGCATCCTGAGAATGGACACAGCCTTGTTCACAAGCGATGGGGAGCCGTGACTGAGGCGAGCTCTGGAGGGAGATTGCTTGGGTTCAAGCTCTTGCTCCCATCCTCCTAGCTGAGTGGTGCCAGGCACTACGGGGTCAATAATGGTACTCATCCTTCTGAGGGGACTGTGGGGGCTATTGTCTACACTCAGTAGTTGTGATGTACAAAGCGGATCACAAAGTGGATGGCACCCCGGGCTTACAACGGAGACCGTGTCTAGGGCTCCCTGCCATCTGCCCCCTCTAAGAAGGTCAGAGGTGTGTCAGAGCCTGTCTCAGGATGGGGGACTTTTCCAGGACATGGCAATGGTCAACAGGGAGTCCCCTGCCCTAAATGCAAAATACTGACAACCACTTGCATATATGGAGCACTTACTGTATGCTCAACATTCTACCTGGACCAGCTCACTTCAACCCACAACAACCCATGAGGAGCAGGGGCTACTATTGTCCTTGTATTCCAGATGAGGAACCCAAGGCTCAGAGAGGTGATTCGCGTTGCCTAAGGTCACACAGCTTGTAAGAGACAGAGCTGGGATTCATCCCGGTTGATGCGACCCCCGAGTCAGGACAGGGACTCTCCTGTCTACCAGGACTTAGATCCTCAGTGGGATCTGAGCCACACTTGTGCCTCAGTTGGACCTCCTTGTTGATTTGGAGCTGTTCCTTCTCTTGGCGGCTGCGTGACCCAAACCCTGAGATGCTCGGCCTTTTGGATTCGGGGACTCCAAGATCCCGCAGGCTGGCACCCCCAGGATTCCAGATTCCAAACGGAGGGTCCCCAGCTTCCTGGAGTTCCAGGGGTATCGTTCCTAAGCAGCTCAGGGAGGACTCGGGGTGCGGTCTCGGAGCTGGGGTGGGGTCCCCTGCAGCCTGTTCCTCCGCATGCCGGGGCGGGGCCAGAGCCGAGGCAGCCTGGTTTTAGGGTGACAGACAGGAAACGGGCAGTCTCTGATCTACTGTGAGGCAAGTGTCAAGACAAATAGGATGTGGCCACTTCGTGCCCCTCCCTCAGGGCCCTGCCCTGGCCCCTGCCCCTGTGGAACGGGCTTGTTTTTCTGCCTTCCGGGGAGAGGAGAGGTGGAAGGCGGGGGCCTGGAGGTGACCCTGCTGCTCTGAGCCTTGCTCCCCTCGTCTGTATAATGGGCGTCCTCGCAGCCAGTGCTTCCCAGGGGCCACCCACACGGTGACAGGGCATCAACCCGTTCACAGTGGGGGCCTCCTAATAATTCGTTTTCACTGTAAAACAATACACTTATTTGATCCAATATTAAAGGGCTTTGTCCCACCCGCTGTGCGCAGAGTGTAAGCCGAGCTCCTGCACCTTCTCGCTCGGCCGAGCATCTCTTAGAGCCTCAGGCTTTCTTCCTGTCAAATGGGCTGATGCCTGTGCTGCTGGGGCCTGGCTCCATGGTGCTTTCCTCTCGAAGCCCACGGGACGGCAGGGACCAGGCTGGGGTGACCGGCCCCCTGCCCTTGTTTGCCCGGGACCAAGGAGTTTCTGGGGGCAACCGGGACAAGCTGGTCGCTTCGAACAGCCCAGGAAGGGAGACTTGGGCTTTCCCGTTGCACCACGTGGTACGTCAGTGGACAAGTAGCCCTCTGCTTTTGCAGAGGCCCAAGGGGGAAGTAGTGAGGTCTCCATCTCTGTTCCCTCCCCGGAGTCCAAGGCCTCCCTCTCCGCTGCCCCTCTGTCCATATTGGGAGAAGGCCTCCCAGATAAAACACCCCCTGCTGGAAGCCAGTGTCTGGGACCTTCCACGCAGCATCTCGTTCCATTGTCATGACCATTCTTTGAAGCTACATGGCCCCATTTTACAGACGAGGAAACTGAGGCTTAGAGAGGGTGAAGTAATCTGCTCCAGGTCACACACCTGGTAAGCGGAGGTGAGCGTGGGATTCAGGCTCATGCTCTCTCCTCCACCCCCTGGCTGTCTTTGCGTGCAGGGGACTTGGGGATGGGTACTGGGGCGGGGACAGCTGACAGTGAGAGCCCACCTTAAGAACATGACCCTAGCCCCGCTCTGTGGTATTCTCCCAGCCTCTGGGCTGCAGAAAGTCAGGCCCCGACTTGCCAAGATGCCTCCCCTACCGGCCCAGGAACTGGAGGGCCAGGCCTTGCGTTTCTGCCCCCTCCCTCTCTGCTTCCAGGAAGTGGCTGAGGGCCCTGCCTTCCAGGAACCGAGGACTGCCCAAGGTGTGTGTGTGTGTGTGGGGGGGGGGGGGTGCCAGTGTTTTCATAATTATGAAACATGTCTCTGAGCAAGCTTGTGGCTTCTTCCCGAAGTCCTCCACCCCCAGGTAAAGGGGAACAAAGTTGGGCGATACATTCTTCCCCCAAGTAGGAACTCTGTCTGCCCTGCGTGCAAAGAAATTCTGCCATTGTGAAGGCAGATTGGGAGGCAAAGGCTGTGTGTGTGTGTGTGTGTGTGTGTGTGTGTAGGCATGTGCACACACACACATGCACCACATTTATTAAGCACCTACTGTGAACCTGGAACTTTGAATCCGTCCTTTCATTGGGTTCTCTTGACAGCCCTATGGGATAGGTACTGATTTTTAGCCCCATTTTACAGCTGGGAAAACTGACGCATAGGGAGACAGGATCTGTCTCAAGGTCATACACCTCGGAAGACACAGAGCTGGGATTTGAACATCCTTTGGTCTGCCCCCATAGTCTGTGTGTTCAGTCCTGTGCTCTGCATGGCACCTCATACATAAGGGCTCACTTTTCAAGGGGGACACAGCCCAGAGCTCCCCTTCCTTCTTACTCTGCCCTTCCTCTCCCACCTAAGTCCCCAACCCCAGGCTTTCGTCCCTTCAACTAGGTGAGGGCTCTCCATATAAAGCCTTCCCGAACCCTCTCTGGGTTCCAATCTGATCTGGGCCCCTCATCAGCTGTGTGTCCTCCTCCGTAAAACAGGGATAATCGTGAGGGCTGGACGTGTCTGGTGCAAGTATCATGAAGTTCAGTGTAAGAAATTGTTTTAAGGTATGATCAGATTTGCATTGTAGAAACCAATATGATTCTAACCAATGTATGAAAGAGGCTGGAAGCAAAGGGGCCCGTGAGTAAGTTCTAGTCGTCCAAGGAATGAGAAGCAATTGCTCTTTCCTCCAAATCACATGAATGAAGGACAAAGGAAGGTGCTGGAAATCGTCCAGGTGCTGTCTGTGAATGCCCGCCCCTCTGCACCAGACGCTGTTGTAAGGGTTGCGTGCTGCTGATGGTGTTATGTCCGGGAAGCCAGGTCACAGCTGTCACTGACCACAGGGTCTTCGTCACAGGATCCCGAGTCCTACGAATGCCAGCCAATGCCGGGGGAGCAGAGGAGGAGAGAGGGAAAGCAAAGCACGGCATTCACAATGCCACAAAGAAAGATCAATGGGGCCGGGCGCCGTGGCTCACGCCTGTAATCCTAGCACTCTGGGAGGCCGGGGTGAGCAGATCGCTCAAGTTCAGGAGTTCGAAACCAGCCTAAGCAAGAGTGAGACCCCGTCTCTACTAAAAATAGAAAGAAATTAATTGGCTAACTAAAAATACGTAGAAAAAATTAGCCGGGCATGGTGGCACGTGCCTGTAGTCCCAGCTACTCAGGAGGCTGAGGCAGGAGGATCGCTTGAGCCCAGGGGTTTGAGGTTGCTGTGAGCGAGGCTGACGCCAGGGCACTCACTCTAGCCTGGGCAACAAAGCGAGACTCTGTCTCAAAAAAAAAAAAAAAAAAAAGAGTCAAGCTCTAACATTTTCTTTCTACACCCCAATGGGTTATCTTACCCACAAATAAAATGTTTTAACTAAAATTGATAAGGAGGCAAATAAAATTTCTATGCAACATACAGAGGACGTTAAATGGCCATCGAGGACGAGCTCGATTCGTGCTGATGAGTCATCATCACGCTGCTGCTGGCGGAGGGTCCTCTCTGTGCTGGGCACATGGGGGGTCGTGGGGACGCCCAGAGCCACGGTGCCTGCCCCAGACCAGACCTGCTGCGAGCTGCGGCAGTCCGGGGCCACAGTGGAGGGGGCTCGCTGGGCTTGCGGGGAAGCTGTCCTGACACCTCTGCCTGTGTCTCTCCCCAGGTGCCATGCCTCCGCAACTCCTCCTGCTGCTGACTCTCCTGGGCCCTGGCAGCAGCTTCCCGCCGGGGGACAGCTGGGCAGATGGAGACAGGAAAGCCCCAGGCCCCCTGCTTGCCCGGGGGCGGAGACATGTGCCTGGGGAGGACATGGAGGATTACGACTATATCGGGGAAGGCACAGACCCTCCAGAAACGCTTGAAAGTATCACCAGTGTTGTGACCCAGAATGTCATGCTTCTGACTGTGACCGGAACGTCGGAGCAGAGAGGTTCTGCAGAGCCCGGAAGCCCTGAGCCTGCCACGGTGGAGGCTGCTACAAAGGACACTGCTGGCCTGGACACAGGAGGGAAAGCCACGGGGAATCTGAGCACGGAATTGGCCACTCGGCAGATTCCAGTCACACTGGACCCTCTGGTCACAGAACTGACCACTATGAACATTTCCATCATGGGTGCGCCATCCAACAAGGGGGCTCTGTCCATGGGGCCAGCTACCATGGAGGTACAGACCACTCAACCAGCAGCCACGGAGGCCCTGACCACGGGACCCCCTGCCACGGAGGCCCTGACCACGGGACCCCCTGCCACTGAGGCCCTGACCATGGGACCCCCTGCCACGGAGGCCCTGACCATGGGACCCCCTACCACGGAGGCCCTGACCACGGGACCCCCTGCCACGGAGGCCCTGACCACGGGACCCCCTGCCACTGAGGCCCTGACCATGGGACCCCCTGCCACAGAGGCCCTGACCATGGGACCCCCTGCCACGGAGGCCCTGACCACGGGACCCCCTGCCACGGAGGCCCTGACCACGGGACCCCCTGCCACGGAGGCCCTGACCATGGGACCCCCTGCCACGGAGGCCCTGACCATGGGACTCACTGCCATGGAGGCCTTGTCCACAGAAACCCCTCCTTCAGTGGCCCTGTCCATGGAGCTAGCCACCGTGAAGGACATCCCTGGGGCAGCTAGCAATCTGTCTGCCATCACCAACATGAAAACTGGGCAGACATCCCCCCCTGGGATCTTCGTGGCCCCCACCTCCACAGGGCCCCCCGACCACATCCCCGTGAAGCAGTGCCTGCTCGCCATCCTCATCCTGGCCCTGGTGGCCACCGTCTTCCTCGTGTGCACCGTGGTGCTGGCCGTCCGCCTCTCCCGCAAGAACCACACGTACCCTGTGCGGAATTACTCTCCCACCGAGATGGTCTGCATCTCGTCCCTGCTGCCCGACGGGGCCGAGGGGCCCCCCGCCACAGCCAACGGGGGCCTGCCCAAGGCCAGGAGCCAGGGCCTGACGCCGGAGCCCGGGGAGGACCACGAGGGCGACGACCTCACCCTGCACAGCTTCCTCCCTTAGCGCCCCTGCCCGCGTTCGCCGGGGCGAGGCCCTGGCCGGCTGCTCCCTCCCTGGCCCAGCCGGGCCACCACTGAGCACCCAGGCCTCCGTGCCATGGGTCTGGGCTTCCTCGGAGACCCCTGGGGTTGGGGATCTGTAGGGAAGGGACCCTGGCCGCCCCAGACGAGACCAAGAGCAGCCACGGTCCTGTGGCCAAGCAGGACCAGCAGGTAGAACCGCCTCCTCGTCCCTCCTGCCTCCAGGGGCAGCGGCCAGTTGGCCCAGAGAGACCCTCTCCTTCCTGTCCCCACCCGACGTCCCCACTGCCATCCTCCTTTCTCCAGGCCACTGGAGTCCCTCCCCAACAGGCCCAGGGAAGACTGGGTTCCTCCACCCCACTCTCATCGCCATTTTCTCCTGGTTGCCATGGTCACCAAACAAGAAGGGGACTTTGCAGGGGGTCGGGGCAGGGTGCTGAGGAGCGAGCGACAGATCCCTGAGCCCATTTCCTGCTGCTCTGCAGGGAGCCCAGGGTGAGGCCTCAGACTGTGAGGGCTGCAGTGGGTTCGGAGAGCCCAGAGACCTTTCTTTGGGACTGTGTAGACCAATGAGCCTCCCTCTGGTGGCAGAATAGCCCCCACTGTCCTCGCTTGCCTTCCCCTGAGGCCACCTTTTCAGGGTGGCCTCTGCCTGGTTCACTGCATCATCCCCCTGCCTGGCCCAGGGCTGGGCACTCAATAAATGTGTGATGAACACGCGCTGGTTGGTTGCCTCCTTCAAGGTAGGAAGGCCGTCTCCTCCAGGCAGCCTTCCTGGAACTCGGGTTGGGGGTTGGTCCTCACTGTTCGCCCTCAGCCCCAGGCCCCTCAGGAAGCCCCCTTCACGGGCTGTTAGGTTGACTTCTGTACTGCCTCTCGTGCAGCAGAGGCATCTCGGGATACCCTTGGGTGGCCTGGAAAAGTTTCAGGCTGTGGGGAGGGGGGACAAAAGGAAGGCTGGCCCCTGGTGACCACTCTGCCCCCCCATGACCCAGTTTTGACCGGCAGAATTAGCTTCCCCCCAAATCTCAGACTAATACCTCTCTAAACATCGATGGCATGCTCCCGTTAAAGGGAAACCTAGTTCGATGTCGCTTGCTAAGGGGCGGTAAGGGACTTTATTCCAGGGCGTGGGGTGGGGGGGACTGGGGACAGGGGGGACTCAACTCCGCGTACAGCTCGGGGGCGAGTGGGAATCTGTGGCCAAGGAGCAGGTGGAGGCCCGTGGATGGAAAATCACTAAGAGGGCTCAGTCGGACGGGCGCAGGGACGCTTCTGGAAGGAACGCAGCGATGGCCGCCCAGGGACAGCCACAGGTCCCGTTCAAGCTCGTATCGGTTGGTGGTGGCGGTAGCGGGAAAACTACATTCGTGAAACGTCACTTGACTGGTGAGTTTGAGAAGAAGTAGCCGCCTTAGGAGTCGAGGTCCACTCCCTCGTGTTCCACACCAACGGACGACCCATCAAGATCAACACGTGGGACACAGCTGGCCAGGAGAAGTTCGGGGACTGAGGGACGGCTGTCACACCCAAGCCCAGAGTCCCATTGCAATGTCTGATGGAACACCAAGAGTTACTTACAAGAATGTGCCTAACTGGCGCAGAGATCTGGCACGAATATGCGAAAACATCCCCGTTGTCTTGTGTGACAACAAGGTGGATATTAAGGACAGGAAAGTGAAGGCAAAATCGATTGTCTTCCACCGAAAGAAGAATCTTCAGGGCTACGACATTTCTGCCAAAAGCAACTACGACTTTGAAAGGCCCTTCCTCTGGCTTGCTAGAAAGCTCGCTGGGGACCCTGCCTTGGAGTCCGTCGCCATGCCCACTCTTGCCCCACCCGAGGCTGTCACGGGCCCGGCTCTGGCCAGCGCGGTGTGAGCGTGACTTAGAGGTGGCCCAGACAACCGCTCTCCCCAATGAGGATGACGACTCAAGAGAATGGAGCTGGAGCCCAGCGTCAGAAGTCTAGTTTCATAGGCTGTCCCGTGATGTCAGCGGTGCCGCGTGTGGGCCACTTGGTTATCCGGCTAGATGGAACGTGTGCTGCATCTGCGGTGCTGAAGGAGATGGATGGGCTTCGGAGTGAATGGCAGTTAAAAAAAAAATACCGTCATTGTTTGGACCTGCATATTTAGCTGTTCTGGAATGCGGTTGATCCCTCCTTGAGTTTCAAATATAAGACTGCTACAGTCACCTCGCAATGTTTAGTGGTGAAATCCTGTTCGTTAACTGCCCTTCCCGTTCCTTTTTGTTTAGAATCGGAATAAAGTTGTATTTCAAATATCAAAAAAAAAAAAAGAAAGAAAGAAAGAAAGAAAGAAAATCACTAAGAGGCAATGTCAGGTGGCTCACGCCTGTAATCCTAGCACTCTGGGAGGCCGAGGTGGGCGGATTGCTCGAGGTCAGGAGTTCAAAACCAGCCTGAGCAAGAGCGAGACCCGTCTCTACTATAAATAGAAGGAAATTAATTGGCCAACTAAGTATATATATAGAAAAAATTAGCCAGGCATGGTGGTGCATGGCCTGGAGTCCCAGCTACTCGGGAGGCTGAGGCGGGAGGATCGCTTGAGCCCAGGAGTTTGAGGTTGCTGTGAGCTAGGCTGACGCCACAGCACTCACTCTAGCCTGGACAACAGACTGAGACTCTGTCTCAAAAAAAAACATAAAAGAGGCAATGTCAGGGGTCAGGAGAATTCTGGCTAAGCCGACCTAACAATAGCATTCTTGCTAAAGACGGGCCAGGGTGACCAGACACCCCCTGGGGGGTGGAGGATGAGGAACCCCATGAGATACTGAGGGTGACCAGGTAGCCAGGGCGTGGAGTTCTTGCTAACCTGACTGAGCAGAGTTCTCGCTAAAACGAGTTTTTACAAGGAAGGGCACAGATGGGCCTAGGAGGCGATTTGGGAGGCTGAGTACAGTTTGGTGGGGCAGAGAATCTCTGTCACCCCCCGGAAGCCCGCCCCACCCCCCCTTTTCCCATAGGGCTTATCTCTCCTTAGCAAGTGCAGCCTGGGTGGCTTTTACACAACCCGCTGTCAACCGGTGGAAAAGTTTGGGGCCGGAAACCCCTTTCTTAAAGGGCCAGGCAGCAAATCCTTCAGGCTTCGTGGGCCACGCAGCCTCTGTGGCCGCTTCTCAACTCTGTCCTTGCAGCGTGAAAGCGGCCATCAGAAGTAGGTTCTAAAGGAACGGGTGTCGCTGTGTCCTAATGAAACGTGATTTACAACGGGGCGGCAGGCCGGACCCAGCTCCGAGAGTGTGCTGTCCCTGATTGGAGCATAGCGTGACAGTCATCCCAGCTTGCCTGGGACTTTCCTGGTGCGGGCGCTGCAAGTCCCACATCCCGAGACACTGAGCCCCAGCTAACCCGGGCGGTCGGACTCACCGTTTAAGCAACACTGAACCACGCGCGCGTGTTGCCTCATTCGAAAGCCACGCTGACCCTCTAGTGTCAGAGCAGAGGGCAGAGGCGTGGAGGGACCCAGGGATAGGGGGTGAGATGAGCTCAAACTCTTGACCTTTGGCCTCCAAATACCTTCTAGTCGTTTCCATAGAGAGAAGAAAACTGCTGCTTCAAACATGCTGCTGTTCTACTTTCTAGGAGAGGAGTGGAATTTATCTCAGGGGAGAGTTGTTTTTCTCTTCCAGAAAAATACCTCCAGTGGCCTCCTTGGGAGTGTGGGAGTGAAGGGCCCCCACCCCAGGGTGCAGCCTGCAGAGGCAGGGTTCAAAGAGAGGGCCGAGCCTGGAAGGTGTTGGAGTTGATTGGGAGGGTGGGTCGGGGCAGAGGGGCGAGACCGGGGACAGGCAGGTGGCAGGGGCCGGTGGAGACTGAGGCGGGGAGGTGTGGGGAGGTGGCCCCCACATGTCTGGAAGTGCTGGTGTCTGCCTCCTGCCCCCGAACTTCTAGAACAACCTCTACACACAAGGAAGTTGTGTTCAAGGTGCTTTTGGGGGTGCTGGTGGCAGAGGGCAGGAGTGTCCATGGGGCCTGGGGCAGCCAGCCCTGGGGAAGGCAGGCTGGTGGGTCGCCTCCCCTTTGGGGGGAATCAGAAAAATCACACGAGGGGGGCTGAAGGCTCCATAGCTCGGGGCTGTGGCCCTACAGGCTGAAGGACTTGGGGACATCTGAGAGGTTCCCCAGGGGTCTTGTCACCCTGGCCTTCTAGGGGCTCTCCCCGATGCCCTGAGGGCTTCCAGCGTGCCTCAGTTCAAGGATGCCGTGTGCTGCCCGAGCCTGGTTTCCCATCTGCCCTGGAGGAGGGCTGTCTTCCCTGCACAGCTCAACTCACTTCCCCCCAAGCATGACATTTAATGTCAGCGTCGGCGATGTGCAGGAAGCAGCCACCAGGGGGCGCCCGCCGCCAGCTCTTAGAGCCGGTGGGCGCTGGGCGCTCCCCTCTGTCCAGACTTTGAGCACGAAGGAGGAATCCTTTGGCCACCCTCTGTCCGGACTTCGATCCTCCTTCGTCCAAGGAGGAACCCTTTAGCCAGGAAGGAGCTGCAAACCCTGTGGAGAGCTGGTCAACATTAAGCACTGGCTCCCAATCGAAAGCATCCCTGATTTATAGCGTTCGCCAATTTCCTCCACGTAAATACCCCCGTGGCCGATTTTGGGCTCCCAACCATCGTATGGTAGAGGGTACGGCCGATGTGAATAGCTGGGCACAGCCGATCACAGAATGTAGTAAAACCACCAGGAGGGGGTGAGTTTTGAGCACGAATGACCTTGGGTTTTAATGTCATATAATTTCATTTATTGAACACCTGATTCACACAATTCTGAACATTTGCTGATTAGCTCTCACGGGCAGGTACCACTGAGCCCTTCCCCCGGCCTGGCCTCCCATGCCCTTGAACGTCACCGGCCTGGATCCCCTCACCTTACGTCCCCTGAGCACACGCATCTGCGGGATCTCTGTGAATCCCTCCCCGTCGGCCTTCCGGGGAGGTAGTAGCATTCTCTCCGTGTTATAGAAGAGGAAACTGAGGTTCAGAGAGGCAAAGTCGCCTGCCCCGGATCATGCCTGGGGCTCTGAGATTGGACCCAGGACCGCAAGCCACGTTCTCACCGCTGTGTCACGCTGTCCTTGAGATCCCGGCGGGGTTCTGGGGGAATCCCACGCCCCAGAGTCTCGCCCTCGCTGACCTGCCCTGGTGCCTGGAAGTCTCCCATTAGTCACTCTTGGTGGCTCCGGACTGCTGAGGGAAGGCACTGTCCCTTACAGAGAGCAGGACGGCAGAGCCGGGGCCTAGGACAAAGAGAGAAGGCCGGGAGCAAGGGGCTGGCATTTATTGAGCGCTTGCTGCATGCCTGGCACCTTGCCACACACTTTATGTGCATTATCTCATTTAGGCCTCACAGCGACCACATGACATGTGTGAAATGACTGTCCCATTTTCCTGCCGGGGAAACTGAGGTTCAGAAAGCGGAACCACTTGCTCCGGCAGGCTGCCCTGCTAGGAAACCGCATGCTGCTGACTTCAGCTCGGCTGCGGGGAAGGAAGGAGAGCAGACAGGAAACAGGGGGCCGGGGATGGCGGGCCAAGTCTGCGCCAGGTCCCCTGTCCCTTACAGGCTGAGGCTGCCATGATCCAGCACTGAACTGGGCAGGGGATCCCCAAATTCTTCCCCCAGACCCCACCCCCACCTGCCACTCCACCAAGCCACAGATTGTTCCAGAATGTGCCAGGCACCACTCCAGGACCTGGGA